TTGTGAGAGCCGTCTCTGTAGAATGCTGTGGGCAGAAACCGGACTGAAAGGAATCAAGAATGGAGTTGGCTTCAAGAAACAACAAGACAGTGAGAATAAACAACCCCTTCTAAAACCTTGGAAAGAAAATGTAGAAGAGAAATTGGACAATAGCTAGACAAAGAAGAGGGGTTAAGAGAAGGTTTTTTTCAGAATTAGGGAAACTAGAGCGTGTTTAAAGACTGAAGGGAAAGAACCAGTAGAAAGAGAGAGATTAAAGATATGGAGAAGCGAAGGCAGAAAAGAAGGGGCTATAGAGATTAGAAAAGGAGAAGGGATTGGGTCAAGAGAACAAGTTGTGGGTTTGGAAGAGTTCAGCAGCGTGGAGAGTTCATCCAAAGAAACAGGAGGAAACAGAAAATTTTTTAGCTGAGAGTGACAGAAAATCAGCAGTAGATGAATGATCGGGGCTATCTCAGAGCGAATGGTGGTAATCTTTGAGATGAAATAGTTAGCAAAATCATTAGGAGAGAATAATGAAGAAGCAGGAGGAGAAGGAGGTTTTAGCAAACTATTGAAGGTGGAGAACAAACACTGCAGGCGCCTCTCATTGGCACAAATCAAAGATTTATAATAATTCTGTTTTGCCATGGACAAGCTGCGTGAAAAGGAAGAAAGTACAAATTTATAATGAATAAAATCAGCCCATTCCCTGGACTTTTTCAAAAGATGTTCGGCTACTCAAGAGCAGGACCAGAGAAACCTAATTGTAGGAGTAAGCCAGGGCTGAGGCCTGGTCATAGAGGAAGACGCGCGTACAGATATAGGGGCAAAGCTGTCAAGAGTTGCAGAAAGAGTGGAGTTAAGTAAAGACATTGCTGAATCAGCAGAGTCCCCAAAATTTAAAGAGGAAAGAGATGAATCCAAGGTCTGACTGAGAAGGTCACAATTAACAGACTGGAGATCATGACAATAACGTTGAACAGTATGATGAGGAGGTGGAATATAAGCAAGAGTAAAGGAAATTAAATAATGATCAGATAATGGAAAATCATCTACCAAGTAGTCAGAAATGACACATTTAGCAGCAAAAACTAGGTCAAGGCAATGACCAAGTGAATGAGTTGAAGAGTTGGAATAGGGTTGAAGACCGAAAGAGGCTAAGAGGGAACTAAAGCGAGATGTTGTCAGATTTTTGGAATCGTCAAAGTGGATATTAAAGTCACCTAGAATCAGAAAGGGAACGGCATCCAATAGAAAAAATGTGAGCCATGACTCAAAGTCAGAGAGAAAATGGGTAGCAGAGCCAGGGGAGCGATAGATGACTACAACCCACAGATGTAGAGGAAAAAAGAGCCTGATAGAATGAAACTCAAACAAAGAGGAACAATAGCTGGGGGTAAAAGATAGAACCTGAAACTGGCAGGAATTAGATAGTAAGATATCGACCCCTCCTCCTTGACCCTCAGAGCAGCTAGTGTGGGTTAAAGAGAGACTACCAAAAGAGAGGGCCGCAGAGGTAGCAGTATCAAGGGCTGGGAGCCAAATTTCAGTAAGAGCGA